CTTAAAAGCGCTCACTTGATCAATACGACATTGCTGTAGAGGTAACCCAGGGCGGGTGGGTGTGGAGAGTCAGGAGGAGAGGGAATCTAACAACCTCTGTATGATTTCGGTGGCAAGGAAGGTCCTCTGAAGAGAATTTCTTTTCCGTTACTCTCCATCTCAATCATTTCCTTGTGTCAAAACCCAGCAACTTGCTCTCTCTTCATTCCCTCTCCTCACAACCTCTCACCTGGAGTAGGGTATCTTAAAGTGTGCCAGCCCTTCTAAAGGGTGGCTGTTGCTTTAGAGGCAGGCAAGGGGTGGAAAATACAAGATTTAAATTGTGATCCTAGTGCTCTAAATGTTGAGCAATAACCTCAAAAACACATCTGAGGAGCCCAAACCCTATTGCCTGTCTTGTCCCTAGGCTCCGTGCTTAACTCGATCCACTAAGCACCGAGGGTTTTGAGTGCTGAGGAGAGAGTAGCCTCCGGAGTGAGTTAAATCCACTTTTCCTGTAACACTCACAATCTTTTTTTGACTTGGGAACATCTGCAGTGACTGATTTGTGGAGCTGTTAGCTCGGGGAGCCGTGGAACAGCCAAGCAAGGAGGAGCACATTGTTTGGACCTGGGCTGACATCGTTTCTGTGCTGTCTGAGGATGTACCCTGCCTGGAAAGCTGCTTGTGGTGAACTCTATGCACGGGAGGCTGCAAAGAGTTAAGGATTTTGTTTTGGATCTCTAAGGCAGGCTTGAAGCTAAGTTCTTAAAAAAGTAGTTTAATTTGTTGCCATTATACTTGCCAGATGTATGACCTCACTAAACTTTTAGCAACAGTTCTTTATGCCGAGATTGGCCCCTGGGGAGCCCGGTGGTGCTGCAAATGGCTTTTTGGCTGCTATGAGTATGGAGCATGTTAAACATAACCATGATCTGTGAAAAAGTAAGAATCTTCAAGCACTGCCCACTTTCCTTCCTGTCTGGGAGCTGGAATTGGACAGATACCACAGCTGAGCTCATAACTGAATAGGCAAAAACACCAGCGCACTGTGGTGTTGGCTCTTCTGGCTGAGAAGCGAGATGGCAGGAGCATCCTCTGCCCGCAGGGTTGTCACTGGACATGAGTCTGCCAGCTAACTAGAAAATAAAATCCAACTGTGATCTAAGTAGCTGGGCTAAAACTAGCCAGCCTCGTGGTACGAATCACTTATTATGTAATAACTTTAAAGAGCTGCTTTTGAACGAAATGTTTTTTGAAACATGAGGGAGTAGGAGAGGAGGGAAGCAAATTGTTTTGCAAAAGTTTGTCTCTTGTGATGTGAGAGCAGGGCTGCCTTTCTTCTCTTGCTTTTAGAAATGGTTAGTCTTGAAGTGCCTCTCAAATGGCATGACCCGATCAGCTGTAGTTTTGGGAAGGAAATGCGATGGGAAAAAGGATTCTCTTATTGATGCTCATCTGCATGTTTAACCTGGATTTAGCCTGCTGTAGGAAGCTTTGTGTGCATCTCTGGAAAAGCTGAGGTCTATTTCCAGCTCTGCAACAGAGCTGCTATTGCAGGCAAACGTCACTCTTCAGTCCTCTGTTCCCCTTGTCAAGGGAGATACGGATAAATGACTTCCTCATTCAAGGTACAGGTTCTGTGCATGAAGAGCTCTTTAGAGATTTGAATGGAGTGTGTCAGGGAGGAGAGAGGTGGGCTGGCTTCCAGAGCACAGGTCTCTAACATCCTTTACGTTCTCCCTGTCTCCTTGTAGCACAGTGGCCAGCGCTGCTGGGAGATGTGTGCTGAGCGCGTCTCTGCCACTCAGCACCAGTGGTGGCTGTCACCTAGGGCTTCGGATGGAGTCTGAAGTTAACCGGTGTCACTTCTGAGCAAAGATCTGGGGGTGCACGCTTACATCAGCGTGCTGGGAGAGGGTGCTGTGGGGTGGTTTCTGGTGGGGGATGAGCATCGTGAACAACTGGGGAGCCTCTGGCAGAGGGTAACTCACGGTCTGCTTAGCAGCAGCTGGGACAGGCCTGGTGACCGCTGCCTGAGGCCATGAATTGCCATCTGCAAGGAAGTCTTCTCCCCAGTGACCACCCTTAGATTTCTTTATACTCACTCCAGCCCTTCCTCCCTGATCACTCAATACAGCTGGAAACACACCATTTTGTTGTCACAAAGCAGTTGGGCCAAATCAGTGCTGTGACCCAGTGCCAAAAACCTGTCCCCCCTGTTCTCCTTCCCTGTTTCTGCTCCCCGCAGGCACCTTCCATGTAGCTAATAACTCACGGCCGCCTTCCGGACACTGCTCAAGCTGAGGATGCCGTGGTGCTCTGCATGGCAGGGTGGTTTTTCTGCAGATGTCTGGTAAGGAGTGCTGCAAAGGCTGATCTTGCTTCCTCCAGGGGCTTGCAGCTGTGTGGAGTGCATGCTGTTGGTGGTAGCTGTTCGTTCCGTTGGTGGCTGAAAGGGTTGAGCTGAGTAGCTGCCTGCATGGTGCTCCTGCATGGCCTCACTTCCCTCCTGGGCAGCTGCTCTCTGAGATGTTTCTGTCCTCCAGGAATGGGAGGGCAGGCTTTGGTTTTGCAGCTTTATCTCTGTGGTGTTTCATCCCATCTTGTGCCTGCCTGTGGTGATGGTGGGACAGTTTAAGAAATCCTTCCCCAAAGCAGCTTCAAATGTGGTCAGTGCAGCGAGGTCAAGATGGTGTTCGGGCTCTGCTTTTGAGGTCACAGGGACAGATGGCACGTAACATGGAGACGCTTTGCAAAGCAAGGCTCTAACAGGCTCATCCTCCAGTTGCTGTTTCTTTGT